CACCAAACAGGTTATCAAGGGTGTTTATTGATATAAATATCTGATGATGAGATCAAACAAATATAGACCTGCCTCTCACATAATAAGTTCAACATTATTTTTTTTATATTTAGATTCATTTTAGTCTCAAATCATTTAATTTAATTTTAACTTTACACTTTAATCTAAATTAGTTTTTAACTTTAATTTAATGACTTTTCATTTAAAAATCTCATAAATTAATTGCAGTTATCTGAGGAAGCAATTTAGTTTTTCTTTTGCTGATTTTGTAATTGTAAGATTCATTATCTTCAGTGATATTTCTTTGTAATCGAATTGCTTCATTTCCTTTATTGTTTTCTTAGTTTTATTTAATTTAATCAAATGATGTCGACATTTAATTTCATCTTCAATTCCATTTCTATTAATTTACACTTCATCCCTATTTGCAGTTTTATTCGCTTTAATTTAATTTACTTATTTTGCAATTAGATTTCCTTTTAGAGCTATGTTTCAACCCAATTTGTATATTTAAGATTCATTTAGATTTTTGATAATTTAGCGATCATTTATTTTTCTTGTAGTCTTAACTTTGCTTAATTATATTAGTTTGGATGAGTCCTTAGAATTATATCTAAGGCATTTTGTCGTATAACCCATTTAGTGTAGAAAGTTCATCCTTCTTTTTTGCCAATAGTCTGATAATTAAGATGCAATTTACGACATTCTTCTATCAATTCATAAACTGAGCTCCATGCTTAGAAAAAAGAGAGGGTCGTCAGATAAATTTTTCTAATTTTGAGCAAAACAAATGATATGGCATTTCATTTACCATGTATCAAGGATATTTTTTGGGATAACAATAATATAATACAATATTTATATTTAAAATTAATTGAAAAAACATATATTGCACTAAAAAAATTATAGAAATATATGAATTTAGTATAAAAATTTATATAAAATTAATTAAAAATATCTTAATTAATAAATCTTAATTTATGCCTTAAAACAAACACTTATCATATTTACAATCAATATGTCTTTTAGATATTAATCTTCTTTTTTTTATATTGGTTACACAATAAGAAGTAATCATCTCTCGTTCCTTATCTCATCTCACTCGCATGCCATATGACTTGAATTCAGGACCTTTTACTTATAATGGAAGGAGATTAATCTTTGAATAATAATAAATTAAAACAAAATTTGGGATTAAAATTTAAAATTAATAACATGGTATAAATTACATTATTTAAAATATTAAAAGGCTTACCCTATATTATTTAATAATTGTCTATTTATTTTTTTAAGACTTATGATATTATATGTATCAATTAATTTAATAATATACTTTATACTACATCATTAATTCTAAATTTTTATTTTAAATTTTTATCTTACTTATCATTACTCTAAATTTTTGTATGATCTCTTATGAGACATTTTAGTGGTTATAGATTTGAGTTTTTATATTAAAAATCTTAAATTTAAATTTTGAGATGATTAAAAAAAATTATTTTTTATAATAAAGTTATTATTTAATGTACTAAAAAATAATCAATTTTTATGAGTGATTTTAAAACTACATTTTTAATTGATATATTTAAGAAAAAAAATTAAAATTTAATTTTTTATAAAAATATTAATACTGTAATCAAACCATAATTCTAACCCATAAAATATATTTATTTGGAAATGCAACCTTCAAGTTGTGAGTTCGTGTTTGTTTCAAAAAAAATCAAAACTCAGTCGAAGACTTGTGAGTTGTGATGGGGTGAGAAGTCGCTGGACCGACGCTTAACGGCTTAAGGGACTAGGGTGCGAATTTTCGTCTTTTAAAAGGACAGTGCATCGTAAATTCGTAATGTAAGTTGGGCTTCTTGGGCCTCTACGATAACTGGTTATTTAATCCCAAATCTAAGCCCATCAAGTTGATCTCAAACCAAACAATCACAAAAGATTTTGAACCACGTTAAACTGCAACTAATGGCCTGTTTGGTTCAGAAAAAATTTCCCACAATTTTATTTTGAGAATTTTTTTTAACCGGCAATGTATAATTATAATATAATATAAATTTTATAATTTTAAATAAAAAATATTAAGTAAATATAATATAATATTAAATGAATAAATATATATAATATTATGTATGAACTCTTAAATGAAAAAAATTAATTATATAATAACATATTATGATAGATAATAACAATATCAAGTCATATACCAATGATTTGTTGATTTAAGTAGAAAAAATTCGGTTTCCTTTAAATAAGATTTTGAGTTCGAGTCTTATAAACGAAGAAATAAATGTTAAGAGAGTTTTCCTTTATATAGTCCAACGCGACTTAATTTCAGATTAATCAAAGATCTAATATGATTATCAAATATTGAGAGATTAATAAAAAAAATAATGTGATATTATAATTATAATATTTTCATTTTTTAACATATGCCTTAATGATATAATTATTACACCTTGTTTATATTAATTTTATTAATATTGCCATATGTTTCATTTTAATTAGGCAATGGATTAAATAAAAATCAATTTTTATCTTTTTAATATTAATTAATATTTAAAAAATACAATAATTACACACTTAAATATAAGTTGAAAAAATTCTTCTTTCTATTCGATTATTATGTTATAAAAAAAAAAGAGAATAAAAGTTCTATTTTTAATTTTATTTTTTCCCAACATAATTTCCATCCAATTAACTCCTTTTTTTTCCATAGTTTTTGGAAAGAAAATTTTTTTTCACAACTTTCTCCATGCAAAACCCATTCAATAATTTTCATATTAATTTTCCCTTTCTCAATTTCCTATTAAACACAAACAATCAACTTAAATTTATTAACTTTCTACACACTATCCTCAATAAAAACTTCCCTAAACTTCACCCTAACCAAACACGCCTAAGGATTTCCCACTGCTATTGAATCCTGCTACCACAGAGAGCAGAAACACAAAACATGTTAAGAATTTTAGAAATTTTAAATTAAAGACTTTTCATAGATCAAACCACCAAAACCAAGATTTTTCATAAAATTGAGAGTCAATATCTTTCATTTAACATGAATTGTTACAAAAGCATTCCTAACAACAAAATTCTAAACCACTCTAACCACCAAATCCATAAAGAGTCCTGCCCTGTCGTTTCAAAGCATACACTACATCCATGGCTGTAACCGTCTTCCTCCTGGCGTGTTCTGTGTAAGTAACAGCGTCACGGATCACATTCTCCAGGAAAACCTTGAGAACTCCCCTCGTCTCCTCATATATCAGACCGCTGATCCTCTTCACTCCACCCCTACGAGCCAATCTACGAATCGCTGGCTTCGTGATTCCTTGGATGTTATCCCTCAGCACCTTCCTGTGCCTCTTCGCCCCTCCCTTCCCCAATCCCTTGCCTCCCTTTCCTCGGCCTGACATTTTCTCCGACGAAACAACGAAATCTCTCTGACAACAAAATCAGATTTCAAAACGAAGTAGATCTTGATGGAAGGGGAAGAATGGAGGGAGATATTTATTAGAAGGGATTTTGATTCACAACCGTCGATAAGCTACCCCATCCTACGGTCAAAAAGAACGATCCGTGTTTCGTTTTGAGGTTTAATTGTAGCCGTTGATATGGTATAAATGGACGGTGCAGATATTCTGGATCTTGTTTGTAGCGCCGATGTTCAAAATTTTAAAGAGAGCACGCGCGGTGCTGATAAAAAATTGAGGCCGGGCCCAAAGAAATAGGCCCACTGTTAATGGGATGAGACGAAGAGTTAACGTCGGCAAGTTCGATGAGCTTATTGGGCTTGTGATGTGGGCTTTTCCTTACCCAATTGAACAAACTTGGATCCAGGAAGCTACATTCCGGAGCTGAATATATAACCCTAGAAACCCTAACCTACCGAGTACCAGTGTCTTCTTGTAGTGGGTTTCTTGCAGCCGACCGCAGCACCGCTTGCTCTCTCCTCTCCGTCAACCATGGTACTGCTGCCTCTCCTCTCTCCTCTCCATACGATTCTATTGGGCTGTGCATGCTCACCTTTGCTATTACTAGCTTCATTTTTGTTTTCCGATTCGAAACATGTTTGGTTTCTGAGAAAAAGCCAGGATTCCGCTTGATTTTGAAGTCTTAAAGTTATTATAGATGTGGGAAATAAAGATTGAATTTGAAATGTCTATAATCCAAAATGATTTGTGTTGAAATAGTTTTAGTGGTTTGTTTGATTGCTCAGAAACAGTTGGAAGAAAATGCCGAGCATCCTGATTATTGATTGACTTGCTTTTTTTTTTATATTTTTGTTGTTTGATTGGGTTCAATTAAAATGCTTTGTTATTCCTGATTATAAAAAAATTGGAGATTTCTTTGATGCCTTATTTGCAATCTTTGTTTAGATTAGATTCAGATCTATCTTTAACAAGATGGGTTTTGCTGGTGGTAATCATAATCTGTTTTTGTGATTACAAAATGTTGTGAATATGCTTAAAGTAGTTGCCTTTCAGCTAAAATGATATTTTTGTAGGTGTAACATTATGTAACTAATTGGTGTCTCTATTTGTAATATGATAGACTTCTTATTATGATTATGCTATTCATTTCTGTGATACAAGTGTATCTGTTTCCATCTACATCTTTTTTCCTTTTTAAATGCTTGGTTTATCTTCAGTTATCTTCATTTTTGTTGCTCTGCCTGTGTTGAATTGTGCCCTGTGTATTTCAGGTGAACGTTCCCAAGACCAAGAAGACCTACTGTAAGAGCAAGGAGTGCAGAAAGCACACCTTGCACAAGGTCACCCAGTACAAGAAGGGGAAAGATAGTCTGGCTGCTCAAGGAAAGCGCCGTTATGATCGCAAGCAATCAGGATATGGTGGACAGACAAAACCCGTTTTCCACAAGAAGGTAAAACATCTATTTACTTACATAAACTATGAAGTATCTATGGAAAGAACATGGTATCAGTTTCTTTTACTTTTTGAGATTTCCATGTTGACATGTTTGTTTATTAATGATATCCGTTCCTCCTAAAAATAGGCAAAGACTACAAAGAAGATTGTGCTGAGGCTGCAATGCCAGGGGTGCAAGCATGTGTCCCAACACCCCATCAAGGTTATTGAATTAGAAAGCTCATCATTTGTTAAGTAATCATTATTTACTTTGACCTTTGAATGATAACATTTTATACTCGTGTTGGTTTATGCAGAGATGCAAGCATTTTGAGATTGGTGGTGACAAGAAGGGGAAGGGAACGTCTCTGTTCTAACTCCGTCATTTTGTCCTATTGCTTTCGTTTTCGTTTCTTGTTGGAACTCGAGCTATAATGAATTCTTTTTCACATTTTGCTACTAGTTTTATATGTCATTTTCTGATATTATGGTAATCCTGAAACATTGTTTGTGTTATCAGATATCAGTTTTTATATTTAAAGCTTATTCCAATCTTTCTGATTCTTGTGTGTGTATGATATCTTTCCTATCTGTCTTGTTTTCCCAAGAACTTACACTAATGTCAAGTTCTTGCAAAATCGTCTCCAAAAAACTCGTGTGGAGGTAAAAGTGTTAGCCCTGTTCTGTTCCCCTCCATAATTTCTTCAGATCAAATAAGGATACCAAGAAATTTTGTGATCAGCGAATCGGGTACTGTTTCGTTCACACAGCAGATTAATTTTTCTCTTGACTTTGAATTTCAAAAACTTGTGATGGTGTGAGATTGCCCGACTCCTGACGGTAATAATCCATCAAAGTTTATACATACAGCAGCCATGGAAACGAATGAAGAGTACGACAAAGCAAAGCAGTTGCGGTAAGACATCAGTTCATAGTGATACAGTTCCAAACAACTAAATGTTAATTCGATTAAGTTTAAAACAGAAACAATCAAACAACCAGTAGCCACAACAATAGCGAGAAATTTCATAATAAATTCAATTTGAACAGGTTCAATAAATTGTTTATGCTGCAAAGATCATGCTGCATATTAACAAGATGATCACTAGACAACACAAACTAATCTACTACATATTAGTTGTATTTATTTCAAATTAAATACCTTTTAAATGAAAAGAAAAAATGATAAATAAGTAAAACCCTCTTCTAAGTGCTAAAAGAATTTCAATTTTCCATTGTGAAGAGACGACCCTGCATGCTGCAGTTCACAAGTTGCTCTCTGTGTCCCTTTCAACCCAGAACATGAACCAGTGGTCCCTAAAGTAACTGCAAAATAGAGGTAGATGGTACAGAGGAATGCTAAAAGTGCCAAAGCTGTTAGGAGGTAGCGATGCCTCTGGAAAAGTGTAGACCAGCTACCCAAGTCATCCCTTGGGAATGACTTCCTACGCATCGGAGAAGAAACAATGCCATCAAGCACCATGGCTTATAGACTGATCTTTCACAGCCACCTGAAATTATTCATCATTTTGTCCAAGTTGTGAGGTAAGGAAACTTTCCATAAAAGATGTAACAAAGTAATTTAGAATTAAAATGAATTGGCCTTCAACGATGGTTTAACAAACAATCAGTGATCATCACGCATTACTGTAATACTTAAGAGTTCTAATCCCAATTATGTTAAACAGATCATAACACAAATAATAATAATAATAATAATTCAAAGAGAGATGATTAAGAAAATGGCCAAGGACATGCCTTACAAGAGGTCTGTGTGTGGCAGTTAGGAAGCACAAATAAAAAAATTTCAACTTACAAGCATGCAAACCGAGTGAAGAAGGAAGGGGAAATGCTGTTTTTAAACAAATCAAACCTTTGCAAGCAACTTGTCTGAAGCAACTAAAAACCAATAGGAACAAGCACAGAAGTGGGACACTCCCAGCAATAAACCTTATTTCAATGAATTTTCATTTACTGAGAGAATATGAATTATTGAAAATACTAGGCTCAAAGACGGCAGAGTCACATTATAATCCATCCAGAGTCCAATGTGCAAGAAACATGAACATTTAATCCATGGAACTATTACTGGTTAATCCCCAATCTGTTCTTTTCTTTCTCTACTCTAGTAAGTGGTCTAACCTTAGTAAACATTGAATTTCCATTAGAAATCAAACAAGCTAGCTTCATCGGACATTAAACCTCCAAGATGATATGATAGCTTCTCCATATGCGTGACTAGGTAAAACAATGGCCCAAGGAAAAGTTATACTCCAGAAAATTGTTTATTTGTTACCTATGTGACTGACTTCAAATTCCTATTAATAAGATAATAGTAAACCTTATATCTGCCATGAACAAGGTACCCTGGCATACCCTTCACCCTCTTTCATGAGGCAGAAAAGGAATCCAAATGGAAAATTCAGATTACAGCATGAACAGTAGTAACATTTCTTACACTATCTAAATGTAAATTATATGATATTCACCCAGAATATCTTGTTCAAGCTTAGATTTACTTTGATGGACAGTCAGAGAAAGCTATGAACTTCAAAGCAAAAGTAAGACATCTCCCCATTTAGCTTGCTTGATCAATTGAACTGTCTACAAGCATAATCTAATTACTTTCAAGCCCGAAAATTTTCCCATTAAAGAAAAATTTTGCGATCAGATCTCTCTTCCACCCCATAATCCAATCAACACATCAAGTTACCAAACCCAAATCATCAAATACCCAGAAACCATAAAAAAGAGGATCATGTCAATTGTCAAATCTGCATGAAAACACATCTCACCACACGCTTACCAACCCCAAAACAGCACCCATATCATCAAACATCACCCATCCACATCACAACATAAAATTCCCACAAAATGCAAAGCAGCTAGAAAAGATGAAATCTTTATTGAGAATCAACACAGATCTGGAGGAAAAAAAACTTACAATTGAGGAAAACAAGACTGGATCAAAAAAGGGATGATGGGTATAACTTGGGTTTTCTTCTGATTTACCCTATTCCCTTTCTTTTCCTCCTGTTTTGCTAGTTGTGTTGTCTCCTTTTTTCTATGTCACGGTTTGAGACCAGTTGTAAAAGAGACGGATTTTCCTTTTCTTTTTTTTTTTTTCTCGCTTTTGATATGTGTATAGGCAAACAGATGCAGAACGTTCACGCGTTAACCAGAACTTAGAAATGGAATAAAGAAGAAATGAGAAGAGGGGAATAGGAGAAAGGAAGAGTTCTTCAACGAGGTGAGGACTGTGTCTTGGGGCAGAGTTCGACTGGGTAGGTAGCCGACGCTTGGAGAGGCGCATGTGGCCATACAACCCTCATGAGTCGCAGGCTCGCAGCACAGCTGGACGAAATCAAAATCCCAGTCCATCGTCCGCGTACGAGGCCACTAATTTCGGCCGCTTGATTATTTTCTTATGAAAAAAATATGGTTAATTAACAATCATTTGTCACCATATAATTTCTTAAAAAATAAAAAGAATTCATATTATATTAAATTATATAAAAATTAATATTTATCCACCTTGATTAAGAAAAAAAATTATTTTAAATTTATGTAATTTTAATAATATATTACAAAAAAAAATAAAAAAAACTACTTTAATTTATATTTTAAAAATAAAATATTTTAATCTTTTTTAAGAAGAATTTGTCACCGAATAATTGTTCACCTAAAATCTAATTACACTGTTTTCAACGCTCCGGTGGAAGTGGAAAGCCCAACTCTAGTTGTGAGAACACCAGGCCTAGTGTTCGAACTCTAAAGAAAATAAAAATAAGGTTAGATATTAAATTGGGTCCCTCAACTTTAGTAAATTACACATTTTTTATCCCTCAATAATTTTTTGTACTTTTTTTATCCCTAAACTTTAAAAAATGCACTCCTTTAGTCCTTTTGTTAATTTAGATCGTTAACTCGCCCACGTGGCATTTTTTATAATTTTTTTGATGATATGGCGAAAACAAATTAAAAAAACATCGATGTGAAATTTTTTTTTCATAATAGCTCATGCCAACTCATATAATTAGTATTTATATTAAAAAAAAAAAAATCGATCCATCTTCTTCCTTTCTTTTTTTCTTTTT